GAAAAAGAAAGACATATTGCATGAATTGCTACTTGATGTCAGTGTGCATGAACTGCTGCTCACGTGGCAGCTCTCTGTCCTTTTTTTGTTTGATGTTCTAGTTTTGCCATCATACAATAGTGTAGCCAGTGGAAAAGCAAAGTACACTTTGAAGCGTGAAAAGGGAGTATCTTAATCATTGTTCCCCTGCTACCAAAATACCTTTGGTTTGCTTCCTTGGAATATTGACTTTCCAGTCTAGTGACTGTGTTTCAGTGTCTGCATTGAATACTTGATTGCTATCATTTTACCATACAGTAGATACAATGTAGGTGAAATCTAAGTGTAGTTGGAGGAAAGGTAAGGCAAAGAGTGGTACAGTGGAAATGCAGGCAGGAAGAGAAATGGAGGAAAGAGAATGGAGAAGAAAGTATGAAAGAACACAGAAATTCAGAGTAATTTGAAATTTGGTGAGATACTTAATGACTAGCAAAGTTAATTCCAGTTACATAAAATGTATGTTCTTCTTACTCTACTTTTTCCCAGCCTTTATCTGATATCTTACAGTAGTTTCTGTTCTCTTTCAAGGGGACAGTTCTCTACAAATTTGTATGAATGCTAGCATGGCTTGCAGGAGTGGAGCTAGGATGGAAGCCATAGTTCTTATTCTGTGGACTGATATGTATACATATATGCAAAAACTTTTGTTGATGTCCCTGTCTGCTTTATTTCTATCTGCACACTTTATACAATATTGAGAACCTACAACAAAGGGATAGGGAAATGAGTAGATGATTTTTGTACTTGGTATCCAGAAGCTATGAAATACATGTCTTTTAAAATCAATGTTCTCTAAACAGTGAATTCTCTTTTTCGCAAAGCATCTGCAGTGCATTTGTTCCTTTGAGTTACTTTCAGTGTCTTTTGGTTTTGGTTTGGTTTGGGGTATTTTGGCTCTCCAGAAGCATTATTGCCTTCTAACAGCTAGATAGTAATCCTCTTATCCCCAAGAGGATCACTAGGCTGGAATAGACTGGACATGAGTTAATGCTGCCCTAGTTAGTATAAAGATGGAATTTTCTTGTAAGACTTCCTTTGTGGCTCTTTTTCTGTGTCTAGCCGTGAGTCCTCCTGGTTTCTTTGGCTCAGTCTCCCTTTGATAGTGATTTGTTGCTTGCTTTGGTGATCTCTCTGCAGAAAGAAAGGATGCTTCAAAGATTTGTCTTTGAATCTTTTCTAGTCCTTAGGAGCAGAAAATCCTCTTGCCATGACTATTCCAAGTGTAACGGTGGTAAGGCTGATGGGACCTGCAGATAGCAGTTCTGTGCTGTATAATAGCCCATACTATGTAAAAGATGGAAAACTAAAATTTGGTCTATTTGGGAAAAAAATACCTCATTTATTTTTATTAGCTGACACTTTTTAATTCACAGTCTCTTGAACTAAACTGTCAGCTAGCAAGTTATTGCAGGATAAGTATTTCAACTGGGTATTTTCTTATTCATTTAATTTTGATGTAATCTCCAAAAGAAATTCATGTTAATTAATGCTCTCCTTTTTATCAACAAGTAGATAGAAAAGAAAAGAAAATAAACTAGAAAAAGAAAGAGAATATAACTAAGTCTATTCCAGTGCTCTTCATTTCAAATAACACTGCTCTTGCCCATTGTGAAGGTGAATTCTTCTTTCCACAATAAACAGTGCAGTCCCACCAGGCCTGTTGCATGTTCATCAAACATCACCTTAATGATGGCTGAGGCAATTTTGTATCAAATTGCTTACTTACGTGTTTTTCTCTGTGGCAGACAGTGTCTGACATAGCAGGTCAGGACTTGCTTTCAGTGGTGTGTCGCTGATGTGGTACAATGAGTCTCAGTTCCAACCAGTGTTGAGGAACAGCTTCCACTACTTGAAGCTGACTGAGTCTATTCATGAGTCAAGGGACAACGTATAACTTCTTCTCTTAAGAAAACAGTTTGCTTATTAAATGTCATCTGACAAAAAAAAAATATAAGCAGATTTTTTATTTTAGGTTCACATGCTTATCACAGTTTCTTAAACATTTTGTGAGCATGAAATTTGGGAGACAGTACAAAGCCATACAATTTGCCTAAAACTAAACCAGCATCTATCTGAGAAAATAATTAGGCTTGGAGGGGAGGTTTTCCTTTGCAGGATGTTTCTGGAAAGGAAAGAAAAATAGAACTAATGGTTAAGCAGAGCCTCATATTACAGGCTCTTGTCTGTGATTGTCTAGAAATTGAATTAACCTCTCTCTTGTGCGTATCATTTAAAATGTAACTTAGGAAAGGCTGCACAGAGGTTAAGACTCTGAAGGTCTAATAAGCAGAAATGGTAGCAGAGGTCCTCACACTGGGAGAAGGGAGGACTTGTGACAAGAGAGGAAAGGAGGGGAAGAGGGGGAAGAGAAATGTTAATTTTGGCAGTCAAGCTGACAGAATAGATTTGTCTCCAAGCCCAAGAGTTGTAAAAGTAGGCCAAAGGGGTCTACTGAGTAAACAAATGGAAGTTTGTTAGCTCCTTCCGAAAATGATACTTTCTGTGTGCACTGTCTGGGCTCAACAGAAGACAGAAAAGGAACTTGTTAGACTTTTAATTATAGAAGACAATTACATATCATTTTAATGCCACTATCAACAATTTTTTGCCTTCAGAAATAAAAGATCTATTGTTCATAAAGACAGAGGGCTTGCCCACAGTTCTGGGTGTTAAGGGGAGTTGTCTTATGTGTAAATCTGCTAGGTTTCTTAAGTCTGCATTCTGAAATAAGCGTGAAATGTCAAGATTTACAATCTAATATTTTCAGAAGAAAGTTTTTAATGTATTTTTTATTTCTGTTAATTACATGTAGTTTACTAATAAGAAAAAAGAGCAATAAAAGCGAGGCAATTCATTTCTAAAGGCTCGTCACTGATTGTTGCTGTGTGGTATCTATCATCCTGTAGTGTTGCAAGCTTTTCCTAAATACATAGGGGTATGCTACAACTCCTTGGAGTTACTTGGGTTTTAGGGGGGGGAAAGTCATCTGATAGAGAGGAAAAAAAATTTAATTGTGAAGTATTACTAGAATGTAACTGCAAAAACTCTCTCATAAACAGAATCATAGAATGGTTTGGGTTGGAAGGGACCTTAAAGATCAGCCCACCCCCCCTGCCATGGGCAGGGACACCTCCCACCAGACCAGGTTGCTCAAAGCCCCATCCAACCTGGCCTTGAACACTGCCAGGGAGGGTGCAGCCACAGCTTCTCTGGGAAACCTGTTCCAGTGTCTCACCACACTCACAGTAAAGAATAGCTTCCTATGTTCTAATCTAGATCTCTTCTCTTTCAATTTGAAACTGTTACCCCTTGTTCTGTCACTACCTTCCCTGATCAAGGGTCCCTCCACATCATTCCTGCAGGCCCCCTTGAAGTACTGGAAGGCTGCTGTAAGGTCTCCCTGGAGCCTTCTCTTCCCCAGGCTGAACTCTCTCAGCCTATCCTCATAGGGAATATGCCCCAGTCCCCTGATCATCTTCATGGCCCTTCTCTGGAGTTGCTCCAACAGGTCCATGTCCTTCCTATGTCAGGGGCCCCAAAATAAAGAAAAAAATATCAAATTTTTGGTGGCAGCTTTTAAGACTTTAAAAATTATTTTTGAAAATACCATCATCTTTTAATTTGAATTGACTCTCCATAAATTTTTGTTGTTTGTTTTTTTTTAAAAAAAAAAGTCCTTACTACAGAAGGAAACTAAAAAATGTATGAGGGGAAGAGAATGAAAGATCGCTTGGTGTCTAGAATTGTGTCATCAAAATTATTTCAAAGATTCCATTCAAATAGTTTTGTCATCATAAACAAAAATACTCATTTTGTCTTCGTCCACACTGCAGTAAGATTTGAATTTTTGGGTGGCAGAAGAAGAAGAGGGAAAAGGAGGGCAGAGAGAGAACATGGAAAAGCACGGATTAGGATTATGGGGTGAGAGGAAGGGAAGGAAGAGTGATAAAGGTCATAATGAGTTTGTGGGACTGCAGCTCAGAAAGACTTGGCAAAATTTGTTTTCAGGATGTAGTGAAAATTTGAGAACGGAAGGAAGGCTGTTCTCTAATGGTTTTCCTTTAGTGACTTTCCAGCCTACCATCCCTCACAAAAGTGCATAGCATGCCCTGTAAAAAAAGAATTACCCATTTCTCATACTTGCAGGGCTGGTAGAGATATGGATACATCAGGGAGCAGCCTATCAGAATAGGAGTAGCTGATACAAGGCGATCAAACAGACAAAAGATGGGAGCTGGTACCTTCATGGAAGCAATGTGGACAGAGAACGTGGCCTAGCTTTTCAGGCAGCCTGCACTGGAAAATGCTTGATTGACCCATCATAAACAGAATAGGCTGTGCTTTTACCTAATAATAAGTGACCCCACGTAAGTGTCTGTTCTGCCTGTACCGAAACCCAACCCTTTTGTTGGGGTGTACCTTTTTGGTAGTGGAACATGTATGATACACATATATAAAAATCCAGGGCTAGAAAACCAGTTTGTGTTCCTGATCTGAGGCAGGAGTAAATCTATTTAAAGTTTAGTAATATGGAATCTGTCCCATGGCGTTATATTAGGTTGACTGGGCATTATAGACAAAAATCAAACATCCTGTATGGAGAAGCAGTATTACGAAGAAGGGAGTAGAAAGTTAGATTGAAATGGATTAGACTGTGGTCAAAGCAAGCCAGTACACAAGATGTGCAGAAAGCATTAATTCTACCAAAACGAGACAAAGAATAGCTTTAAATTGTAAGTGTGTACAATTTTATTAGCATCCAGAAATGTCCCACTACTAGTTTATTCCAGCAAGTTGTTTCTTTGTGAATACGATTAAACACTTCAAAGCGCCATGGGCTGATTTCAGTAGCAATTTAGATTTTTGCAGCAGAGTGTAATGTCTTCTTGTGTGTGATGAGCCTGAACCAATCTTTTATGTTCTTTTTTTTCTTTGTCTTTCTAAATGTGTGTGGGCTGCAGATGGTTCTGTGAAGGAAAAGAACTCCAGAATACCCCTGACATTCAGATCCGTTCTGGAAGTGGAGGACTTCATTCACTAATTATAGCAGAAGCCTTTGAAGACGATACTGGACGCTATACTTGTCTGGCTTCAAATTCCCTTGGTTCAGATAGTACATCAGCTGAAATATTCATTGAAGGTAAGAGGTGAAATAATAAGATACCTAACATACACAGGAAAAGGTAACTAAGCTGAAATTTACTTTTGGTTCTGTATGTTAAGATTATACTTGCTTTGGTGGTATTTTTATGGTGTTCCTTTGCTTCCCTTTTATGCAACACATTTTGAACATCACATCATATTAATTCGGGTATTTCAAGGAATGTCCCAAGAATCAGTGGGTAGCTTGCTATTTATTTAGGGTACAAGTAAGATAAAGAATGGAAAAGGAGGAACAAACAGAGCTTTTGGCATACAGTTAGCTTTTAAGTAGTATCCCTCTGTAAATCAAAGAAGACTGGTGATACCAATGATGATTTTCACAAAAGCAGTAAACCCTGTCTCTGTTCTGAACTGCCTTCCAGTGCAATTAGATGTTACTGCCCCAAATGAGCCTTCTTCAGTCATGGGTAAATGTATTATAATTCTTCATATTTGGTACACTGATTTTAAGTCAGGTTAAAAATCAGTCATACCAGTTTTGTCCCGAACCAAGTGTTAGCAATTCTCAAAATATTTCTTGACTTCAAAATTAGTCATAACTCAAGTATTATTTTCTCTGAGGAAAGTTAGTGACTTGACCATTAGTAAAATTATTAAATTAATTTTTTAGTGGATGACTATATTTTAAGCATGATTATATTAATTGCATACTGATTTTTGTTTTATTGATATTTATTTTATTTTTTATTTTATTCGTGCCTCTTTCCAACTTTTTGGTAATATATATTCTTTTATCAGTTTTGTAACCCATTAAAATTAATTTAAGTAGTTAATTGAAAGCATGAAGCAAATTAATATAAGAAAAACCTATAATAAATCTGAATAATACCAGACCAAAATGATAAATACCTATTGATTAACGAAGCAATGAACTTTTCACTATAAATTAGCTGAATCATGACAGCTGTGCATTTATAGGGTTTCTTTCATTATGTTTTTTATTCTCAGAAATTTGTTATCCCACGTTGGGATATAATCGTTAAGTCCTCAAGAGTTTTCTGAATATATGGGTTCTAGTAAGAATTTTCTTTTTGCAGAAGTAAGCATGATTTCAGAAATACTCAGGTATAGTACAAATATATAATACTGTGTGAAGTTCTAACAGAAGCAATGCTAAAAACCAAACAGCTAGGTAGAGAGGTACAGTGAATAAAACAATTCTTTTTTTGAGATCTGGCAAAGTCTTACTATGTGGAAGTGCTGTTTTGAAGTTTTACAACATGTAACTCTGAAAGAGAGAGAATTGTGAAGTCATTAGGTTCCTCCCCTATGATCTTTAAGGAAACTAGATTGTCACACAAGCATCGCTTTGTTCATTAATGTCTTGATGACCCTGATGCCTCATTCTTTCTTCTGTGCAGCAGGCCCAGCCACACAAGACCTGGACATCCTTTGCTCAAGAGATATACTTTCATGTAGACTGACTTTGCTCCCTTGGCATTGCTTATCTGTGCTACTTGTTGCTTTGATTTTTGTAGTCTAAACTTTGTAAATAAATAGGGTACTCAGGTGCCTCAGTCCAAGCTTTGTTTCATTGGAATCAGTCTATGCTATACTATGCATATTAATTATTAATTACTTATGATTTGTATTGCAAGTACAGTTATGCATATGTATGCACAAATCCTTTGAGGAATGGTATGTACTGTATAAATGTCTAGAATAAATGCTGCGTGAAGCACCAGTTATTAGGAAAAATTAAGACAAAGGGAATAAATGTTTTTGTATTTTTTTTCTTTAAGTGAGTTCAAGGTATTGCCAAACACATACATTGTATTAAGACTTCCACTGGCAAGAAATACCAAAAGTACATAAAAGTTATGTATAGGTTAATATAAATAGTCTGAACTGTGGAGATCATGGATAGCAAGTTTAGTCTAAAAATGCCTTGCTATACCGAGTTGCTTTTACTTAAGGTTGAAGATTTGTTATTGGTGTATAAGCCATATGTTTGCTTAAGCTTTAAGTTTGAACATTCAAGTAACTAATTATACATTTCGAGTATTAGTAGTCAGCATTTTTTTTTTCTTTTTTTGGCCATATTTGCTTCAATATGAAGGAAGACAGCTAAAAGCCTGGGGAAAACAAGTTTGCCATTAAATTGGCATGGTTATGATTTCTGTAACTGTTTAAAGTACATAGTTACAATCTTTCGTCAGATAAGAAAAAATGCAGTAGTTTATTACATATGGTTCTCAACTTTTGAAGTAAAGTAGCAGTTTTTTCTTTGGAATGCAAACAATAAATAAATCAGTAAAAGGATGCAAGATTATTGAAAATACTTTCTTTTGCAGGTGCCAGTTCCACAGATTCTGAGAGTGAAAGTTTAATTTTCAAAACAAAATCTGGAGATATGCCACAGTAAGTGTGCAAAGTAGAACTAATGCTGTGCAAATGTTCTTAATAAGGAGCACTGGAAAATCTTTGGTAGTTTTAGATCTGAATAAGCATCTGGGGTATATTTGTGTATGTCTTGTCTTTTCTACTTCTCTCATGTGATATAACTGTGCAGTATCATAATGGCAGATTGTACTAATGTGCTTGTTCTGTCAGACAAGTCTGGCCCTACCCTGACAATTCTTCTGTTGATATCAACTTTTCATATTCGGAAGTAACTTTAAGTTAACCAAATCTTCATCTGTAATCACCCAGCCCTGTGCCTCCAAAAAAACCCATGCAGAGGCCTGTAATTAAAGAAACAAAATACATTTATTTTGTATCTTAAATCAGTACTTTTTATTGGGTGCGAAAGTGTAAATTAGCCAAAGATTGTGTTCTACTCCAGTTTTCTCCAATGTTGATCTTTTGAGCTGATAGTGACATATTTAAAGATGTAGAAAATACCAGGTGGCTTATCGGTGGTTACAAACTAACATATTCTGATTTCAGACCTTATAAAGTGCACACTGTTTTCTTTTCTTGTAGGGCCCAAAAGAAAACCACCTCTGTTTCCTTGACAATAGGATCTTCTACACCAAAGTCTGGAGTCACCACAGCTGTAATTCAACCTATCTCTGTTCCCAGTCATCAGGTATTTTTAGATGCCAATTTTTAAATTAGTAAAACTATTTTAAATTTTATTTCAAAATTTGTAAATCCTGAAAAACTGTCATTTTGAGGAATTATATTATTGAGCTATAAACTGACATTATTATATTAAGAATGTCAATTTCAAAAAATTAAATATTTTTCTAGTGAATGGGGCATAAAAGTAAACATACATATGGATTCTTACAGTGTACCTCAATACAGCACGTGAGCAGCTGACAGATCTGGTGATGATGAAAATTGTAGAATATATCACTTAGTATTGACTTTGTCCAATTCCAAAAGAATGTAATACAAATGAATGCCTACAATATGTTTTAGCAAAAGTTTTAAATTTTTTTATTAAATTAAATATTGCTGTAACTTCTCTGGGCCTTCTAGAGAAAATTTAATTTTACTGTCTAGAAGTTAAATGTAGAAAATCAATGTTCATTACTTTATACTAGGTTTTATGCCACTGTGAATGACTTAGAGTTTGCATATAAATCATAAAATACAAACTAAATTAAAATCTCTGTTAGATTGAACATGATCAATTCTTTTCCCTTCCTTTGGCAAACCTTGATAAGCTTTTAGGTACCTGGATTTATTTATTACTACATCAGTCAAGGGATGTAGTAACAGGAGAGGCAAAAATGCTTCAGTGCAAAGGACTTGAATGATATTAACAGGGGTCAAACTCTCAAAATACTTCAAGGCAAAGACAGTTGGATAGTTGGATACAAAATTCTCATGGGAAGTGTAGAAGCCTCTAAAGCTTGCATTTTGATTTCAGAAATATAACAGATGTCAAATAGTGATGCCACTCAAGAAGCACGCTGGAACGTGAGCACCATAGTAAGACTGTGCATTGGAAAGTTTGCATTATTGCATAGATATGTGCAGGCCATATTATTGAAAGCAATATTCTTTCCATTTTATAGCATTGTTGCATTGCTTTGCAGGTTCAAAGCCCTACTTCATACCTGCACCGTCTGGATGGCCCTAAGCCTATCTATTCTGCGCCCATTTTTACAAAGGTATGTTTTATCCATCATGATTTTTGGATCATACAGGAGACAGAATAGCAGAGGTGCAAGGGGTTAGGGAATGTGGTTGCTGCAAGGCAGGGAGGCAGGCCACTTTCTAGTAAGAGTGGGAAATGGGAGAAATCAAGCCTTCGCTCAGAAACTACCAAAGCAATTAAAACTCCACTGTTCCTTCCCAGTCTTCATATCTCTTATCCCTGAAATCCAATATTAACTGGCTTAAGCCAATTGGGACATACCAAACCAAACCAACTTTTATTACAGAAGATATGAACCAGGTATGAACAACAAAAAGTATACTTATCCAGCTTCCTGTTGCAAATTTCTCTCTATACAAACTTCAGGGAACAACCCAAAGATTTTTAGGTTTCCATGTAACAAAATTCTTATGTGTTCGATTAACTAGATCTATTTGATTAAATAGATCTATGACTAGTAACTAGGGATAACTCTCATCTTAGACCTAGTTTCAAGTGCTTTGCTGCATCAAGGCCCAATCTTCATTAATAAACTGGAAAAAGAATGAGACAGCCAGTACGATTAAAAACACTCTTTGATTTATAATCTTAAGAGGGATTACAAAGGCAAAAATAGTGGCTGTCTGCTGTCAATGCTGTTACTTAAAGCCCTGGGCTGCTTCTCTCTCACTGTAGTTCTTCATCAAACGTTTAGACTCTTCCTGATTTTTTTTCAGACATATATAAGAATTTATTACAGCCGTAATACTGTCTCAGAAGCTATCCATACACAAGCTAATATATCTTAATCATATTTGTGTCAGGTTTGCCTGGTTGGTTATAAACAGCTCACAGGAAAAGTAACTGCACTTTCTAGAGGTTGACCTGAAAGCAACACAGCTACTCTCTCAGGACCAATTCAATCAAGGTGTAGCTAGTTACATAATTTTCATTTCACTTTGTGGAAGAAGCATGACAAAGGGAAGGTCAGACTGCAACTATCTGCTTGTCATGGTCTGAGGAATTAAATACTTCTATACCTTTTCCATTTCTGGACATATTAAAAATGTATTTGAAAATAACCTATTCAGTCATATTTAACTATATAGCTGATAGATGAACTTTAATCAGAGTGAAAAGACAGCTCACAGAAAATATCTGTTGAAAAAATGTAATGACACAATAAAATAAAGTTGAAATATGAAGGGAAGAAAAGACTGGGTTTAAGAATGTAAAATGTTCCCCATTCATTTGAATTGTGATTGTTCTGTTTCAGGAGCTACAAAACTCCACAGCATCTGAGGGTCAAGTTGTGGTATTGGAATGCAGGGTCAGAGGACCCCCTCCCATTCACGTTAAGTGGTTTCGACAGGGCGTTGAAATTCAAGATTCTCCAGACTTCAGAATTCTACAAAAAAGTAAGGCAATAATCTGAAGTAGCTACTTTTGATACAGGGTGGGGAAAGATCATGAAATTAGTCTGTCAGGGTACAGTGTTGGTTAGAGTCCTCTCTTCCTCACATATCAGTGATTATAATGGCAAGAAGTAATAATTGAACTACTGCTACCAACAGACAATTTAAGTCTTCCTTATTCTGTAATGTGTCTGCCCAAATTCTATACTTGTCTTCAAACACAGTATTTCAGTATTGTTTATTAATGTAATCTCTAATACCATTTTTCTTGTTTGTTTCCCCTCCATATGATGTGATATCCAGAGCCACGATCTGCAACTGAACCTGGTAAGAATCATATGAAAAAATAATCTATTGATTCACTAGCTCTTTGAGTTTGTACTGAAGCCATAAATAGAAAAATGTTTCTGCTGAGCACTGGTAATATGAAACCCCCTTAAAGACAATGTTTCTTTATCACACCTTGCATACACTACACTGTCCTTTACATCAATTCCTTTATTAGTTAAACAGTAAATTCCATTTAGACCAGCAAGGAGAGTCTCACAGCTTAAACTTGGAAGCAAACTTCATTCTCAGAAAACGAGCAATTTGTATGCTATTGAGGAAAAAGAACAAATCCCACAAAATTCCATTACCCAAACTGTACTCATAAGAGTTTCATAACACCCAACCACTAAATGCTATTTTTGCCAATCTAGCTTGGCAGATGTGAAATGTCCTAAATGCAACTAAAAGCTGGTCCTCAAAAACAAGGGCACATTGAATTTTTCTAGCCTATTCGCAAGATAAAAGTCCTAGATTTCAGCAAGCAAAAAGTGTTCTTCCAACTACAGGTTTTCTCTGGCTGCTTCATTTTCCTGTTATACATCATTATATACGTGGTAGTTTCTTGAATAGTAAGTGGATGCTAAAAGACTGAGAAAATTTGCTCTTTTCTTTAACATTTCTAAGTCAAACAACATGTAGGAGAAGGGACAATGATACAGTTTACGCTCAATTTAAGAGGGTGGCTGGTTGTACTTGAATATGCTTGAATTTGGTGAGAGTTTTAATTATGGAGTGGAAAAACAGAACAGTGAAGTTTTCTAAGACTTGGGCATTCCCAAAGGGTGTTCCTGAAATGAAGAATCTTAGTGATGGGGGCGATGCTTTAAACTTTGAGGGGTCGCATTGGCGGTCTTTGACTGCAGGGAGAGCAGAGTTAGCAGCTGAGTGATGTTTATAAAGTAGCAGTATGGCTATGAGGATATGGACTAGGAAAAAGCCGTGAAGTGTTAATTGTAGGAGAAAGGCAGCTTTCTCTTACCTTTTTCTGGATATGAAAAGAAATAAAGGAGAACAGATTTGTGTTGAAATATGTTCAATTCTGTGTCTTACTTGGAACATTATCCTGTAACATGTATTACAAAATAAGTCTCCCAACCTAGCTATTTTCTTGATAGCTCTAAAAAAAAAAAAACCAGATCGATGGGTTGACTTTTTTCCCCTTCCCAGAGAAACTTATTTCGTGTCCAAGTAGTAACATCTTTTCTAGATTTAATCTACTAACACTATGAAAACCATACCTAGTATATCTAATTCACTGTTACTAGGAGCTTCTTTTCTACAAAATCAGTTGAACTGCATTCACTCTCTCCTTTAACATGATAGAAAGTATCTGAAAGGACTGAAACTTTACACAAAATATTAAATTTACTAGCATATCTTAGAATTTTTAATATCCAATTTGAAATTGTTCTCTTGAAACTCACAATCATGAATAATGGTTGCTTATTTTTGGTAGTCTTTTTTTTCCCCTTCACCCTTCTTAGGCAACATGAAGTGTGTAATGCTAGATAAATAAAATATTTTAGAATAAGAATGCAGTGTTATCTAGTAGAAAGGATTTTTGTTTGCTTGAGACAAAAGGTTCAAATTCCACTGTGTGAAAAGTTGTGTACAAAGGAAACCATATATTATGCCTCTTGTTAGAAGATTTTTTTTCATGGACAACACGTAATTCTCAGTATTGTTAGTTGCAAGGTTTGTGTAGCCTATCTGACAGATAGTACTGTGGAATAGGTAAGAATATTCATGATAGTTCACAAAGCTACCAATTTCCTTTCATAACTACTACCTGAAATGGGAACTAGAAAGTGGGATTCTGACTTCAAAAAGGTCATTACTCTGCCAGCCCTCTCACATACCTGAATGCTGTCCTTCCCATGTCTGGTTAGCTTGCAGACCCTAGGAGAAGATACCTGAAGCTTTCTAAAGAGTACTAGGGAATGGATCCATAGATGACAGGTGCATTTCTTGAGTTTTCACAGGTACAGAAAAGTTATTTAATATCAAGGTATGTCATTCTACTCGCAAGGGAGTTGGCAAGGTAAGAGTAGGAAGGCATCTTAAAATACTATTTTGCTATCTGTCATTGTCATTTGATAGACATAACATTAGTGACTACCTGACAGCAGTCTGTCTTTTTTTTTTTTTTTCCCTCATGCTTGTAATTCTGTTGTAATACATATTTATAAGCGCCTTCCTGCTACCCAAAACCCATGAAAGATTTTCAGTTTGGTATTTTGTTCTCCCTGGATTCACTGAGCTAAGTACTATCCCTGTAAGATTTGTGCATGTATCAGTTCCTACTAGGCCCTATTAAATAGTGTGCAGTGTCTTACTCTCCACTAAAATTAATGGCAGCACACTTATTGGCTTATTTGTGTAGGAATTTACTCTGTGCATGCAAAGGGAACGTAAATAAAGTTTGGGCAAAATGTAAATATTTCCTTTTGGCATAAATAATGAGCAGTGTTTTGTGTATTAGTAGTAATACTGGTAAGAAATAACACTGGTTTTTAAGATGTCATGAAGGATCTTGAAATTTCTACAACAGGAAGCTGGGTAGGTATCAGAATTGTAAGAGGTACAGCACTGGTTTGTGATGCAATTCATACCCTAACGATACCTGCAGAGGAAATTATCCATAAGCGAACACACAGCTGCTATTCAGTGCAGGTGGCGAATATATGTGCAAGATTCATAAGGAAATGACATGCCTACACTAGATGAATATTCAGAATTTTGAAAGATGGACATGATTTCTAGAAGTTTTTCCAAGTGTACAACTTGCATGGACTTTACATAAATTGTAACAAGTTGCAGTGTGACTTTAATTGCTGGTTGTCAACCAAAGTCCAAGCATCAACGAACACTTTATAGTGCTTTGCTTATTGGTTATCCTTTGCTAGGTCAGTACTAATGATTTAAAAGAGAAATGTTCCATGAACTTAAAAAGGTAAGAAATTAAGGGGGGGGAGGGGGGGAGGGATGGTGGCTGCTTTTTTGGGGTACATTCTATCCACCCTAGTGTGTTTTGCACTCCTCTTTCTGTCTAGACAGAAATCAGTTTGCATCACAAATCTCTCCAGACTGCTTTGTGAATTAATAGCTAGTCAGATTACTTAGAGCCAAAATCACAGTTTGTCGAATTACCTTCTCTGTACTTCTTTCTTGGATGTTTTGACTTTATACTGATTGAATCCTTCAAAGAACAGGCTGCCTGAGAATGAAAAATCCCATGGAGTCATTTGCCAGCTGTTGATATTTTGACCATTACTCAGCTGTCTGGAGGCAGCCACAAACTGTATTGAATTACATTAAAACAATTGTCTAATGGCATGTAAGAAGAAAACTGTATGAAGTAATTTTTCTTAAATTGCCAGGGAATTGCCACATATACGTGCTTTTTTTTCCCTAGCACAGTACTGTGTATGTTTACCAAAAGCATCTCAAAAGATAGTAATCACTTCTCTTGGATTGTGCTTTCTTGTTCCCTGTTTGGCTGCACAGGACCTGTGTTTCAGTTTCAACTCCAGTAACTCCCTTAGAAATCCCCCACTACTTCTGCATAATGTTTGGAACTGAAAATATATGGTGAATGTTACAGAAATCCTTACTGCTTCCCCACACCAAGAAGATCAGCTTTCTGATAGCTGATGAAGTTCAAAACACAGAATCTTCAGCAGGTCTGCATGCATGTTGGATCCTTGTGGGTTTTTAGTGAAAACAAAAGAATTATGACTAAGAGTCTGGCTCCTTCTTTCACTGCTGAGCAACAAAGGGCTTGAAGAGAGCAATCTCCAATAAGCTATAGCTCAAGATGCCAAATGAAGAGAAAAACTGAAAATAAGCTAAAATTATCCTTCATTAAAGGTGGTCTGATCAACTCATGCGCTATTGCTTGTCAATTACATTTTCAGTTGTATCTGCACTCCTAAGCTATCTACTGAATTCTGGTCCTGTCAGTGACCCTGTCTTTAAGTCTGACTGCTACAACTGTCCTTCCTTGTTGATGCTTCCAAATTTAAAGTAAACCTCTGATCTTTTTTGTACTATGTGATTAAAAAAAAAAAAATACTGCTATTCTTCTTCAATTGTAAATATTTAAAGCTTATTGGGGTACATTAATCATCAGTCACATTGCTGAATATATTAATTTCAGCTTCGATGTGTACACCTGACAACTTCAAACTATCTGGCTTAGGCATCTACTGTATCCTAACTACCTTAGTGTAAGCTTTAGCATATACTTTTCCTTGACCCTGATAAATGGCTTGAATTTCTCCTTAAACCTAAACAGTGCTTTAGGGGCTAAAGTCCATGCTGCCGTAGCAGTATTACTCTTTATTGTACCTGAACTGGCTAGATAGCAGCCATCTTGGGTATTGATTACATATGCTGTAACCTAGGTTCTGTACCCTAAAACTGCATTATATTGCCCACAATCATATTTGCTGTTGTTCAGTTTTCTTCTGTGTTTTGTAAGTGCTGTTTGAGATATCTTCATAGTCACTTCTGTGTATCTTTAAAAACTTGTGTCTTCATTTCTTGAGTGGCATAAAGCCTATTAAATAAGCCAGAACTGCCTCCTGACTGGGTAAAGATGTATACAATAGTGATCATCAGAAACAGGTAAATGAAATACTTTTTCGTTGTGTCATTGCAAGTTAAGGCATCTACAGGTCTTCAATGCCACCATCTATTATGCTACTCTGCATATTCAGTACTATATTTTCACACTTCCCCATTCTCTTTATATAAAAGATCCACAGATAGCTAAATGAGAAGTTACCTCATGGACGTATTGCTTTGCTGTTACACCATAGTTAAACATCTGATGAATAGGGGAATATGAGGGAGAATAAGAAACAAGGTGTTTACAAGATGGCAGGGTTGTGTTTGGTTGGATTTTTACCAGGAAACCACCACTGTGACTACCTGCTGTCTTTGTGTAGCAGAAAACTTACAGCTTTGAACCTACATCTATAGAAATAGTTCTGTTAATTGCATCATAATGGCCAACTACTAATAAAAGACCGTACTTATTTCCCAGAACTGCATGTACGTTGCAGTGGAGGAAGCTAATGATCACATTTGGAGTTGAAGGTGCAGATTTAAGAACTACTCTACCTTTAATGTAATACATACAAACACCTGAAATAAACACATTGCCAGTGATGAAATTTGTTAAAATGCAACAGTTTTCTGTCTTGCTGAAGATTATTCTTCCTAATGGACTCACGAACCATAAAGGGAAAGGATTACTCTGTAAAATGTAATCTTTCTTTCTAAATAACTGACAAAATAGTCAAGTACTTGCATGCCTAAGCATTTTACATGTTTCAGTGAACAGAATGCTTTTGTATTCATTTAGTCAAGTGTTAAATATGTTTTAAGGCCCTGAGAACAGCATTTCAGAGCTGCTTTCTGGAACACATTTTTGTGATGAAATTATTTGTCAGCTGATGATTGCTGGGAAGTAGAACAGACATTATTTACTTCAAATCATCAGATTCTACTTAGCACAGTAACAGAAAGAAAAATAATTACATAAGTCAGGATGTAAAGCTAGAAAAATAGTCAGAGCACTATGCATCCAGAGTGTGTTATGTAAATCTAAAGAATGTTTCTTTTGTCAAACTAGTATTTTATTTCTATATTTTCCACAGTAGTAAGCCTTTTAGCAAGGACCTGGAGGTCAGTGATTTTTGGTTTGAGGGGAGCAAAAAGGCAATGGCAATGGAGTGCTTGCACATGCTTTTTGCCCAAGCTGCCTTTTGATTAGTTCTTAGGGGGTTTTATGTTTTCAGTTTAGCTGGTTTTCTCATGATTGAACCAAATGTGTTGTAGTTTGTTCATCTGGCAGAGAAGATTGTTTTAAACTCTTATTTTCGTCACTAATTTACTTTCCATTTGTTTTACAAGGATTACTGCAATTTACCATGTATAATTTTCAAGTACGCTGCTTCAGTAAACAAACCACATCATGGTAGAATCCATTGGAATTCTTTTATCACTGAAAAGTGAAGATCAGCTCTTCTCATGTGATTGTTTTACATACTCTAAAAACTGAGAGAATGTCATGTATTAATTAGATCTGCTGTTTGGAAAATAGGAATTCTGCTGGTTGTTATATTTTGTGGTACATTTGCCCTCATTCAAAGAGCAGTTCTCAGCATGGTGCGAGTGATTTTCTTCTGCAGTCTTGAAATACCCAGCTTTCAGAATTCTGCTGTTAAATGAACAGGAAACTAGTATGCTGCGTGTATCAGATTGCATCCCCAGAGTCAGTTTAATCCAGGAGTATGCACGTGTGGTTAACAATATAGCTTCAACTGCTTATGACAAACCACGGCTCTAAAAAAAGCTGATCTCAGTAGTTCAAAAACTAGCTTGTGTTACCCATTACTTTTCTGATAAGACCTTTCATGAGTCATTAATCTTCATCTGGGTCAGATAAGATCCAACGTGCTACAGTATTACCAGACATACCTCTTGCAGCTACACGGAATGACTGGTTTATGTTGCCACCCCACCCCCACCCCCTCCCCGCCATGTTCTGCTGTCTGAAAAAACAACTCTGTGCCAAATATTTCGTTAGTCATTTAGTTTTAGCCCATTTCCAGTACAGGAAGCTTTTGGATACATTGTCATTTATAATTGGAAAAATTCCATAACTTTTTTGTTAACTGTCTAAACGAGACAGTGATATGCCATTCCACAATGAAAATTATGAAAGAAAAAGGACTATTAGAAACTATTTTGCTCCTTTAAAGGAAAGTGAAGCTAAAAGAAGTGAAGCTTACTTTACTGAACCTCTCCTACAGATTAATTTTCATGTGGAAGTAATCGGAATCTGAAATGTTTTTCCTCACTTTTCAGTTTGTTTTTATTAGCTATATTCCACTGATTTTGTGATAATATGTGAGATTCCATGTAAATGTCTAAAATGCAAAAATGTCTTTTTTTTTTTTTTTTTTAATGAAACTGAATTCTGTGAAACTTCTCTGCTTTGGTTTTGAGCATAAGCAAAAAAACTTCCCGATTAATTAAGGAAACCCATGATGTAACATTGTTCAGGTCTAAAACTACCTAGATATGTTGTGTAAATACTAGGACTATGCAGATTAGCTATACTGTGAATTTTTAAAAAGAATACCCTTACAAGTAGAGATAAAATAAAGTGACTTCTTTGACGAATCTGGAAAAAATATGCCTAGATAATTAAATGTGTCCTTTACAAATGGATGGAATTGATTTAGAAAACAGTACTGTGAGACCCAACCTGATCCATGAACAGTTCAGCCTTCATATAGATTTTCTGACTGAGGCCCTGGTATAATCAAAGCATGTACCGTGGCATATCAAAGTAGAATGAACAGATTTCAAACACCCACAGGATATTTTCCTATATTTTTAATGTATCCATTCTCGTTGTTGTGCAGACAGATTATCTTCCCAAACTCTGCAGAAGGGGAATATTTATGCATCCAGAATTTTTATTCTGGTCAGTTTATACAGCAAAGTTAATCGGAAGTGATGACAAAATACTTTCTGTTTTTACTGGGAATGGGATTTGATCTGAAATGTTGCATTAAATACAGAAAACTTCAGGGAAAGAAGGAATGAGGTAGCATTCATATTGGTCGTGTTACTTAGAGACTCAAAAAGAGCTTGAAAGTATTGACTGTGTATGGAAGCCAATACATTGATTTGCATGCATTAGTACCAGCCTACATAAAAATTAAGATATTGAGTGTGTGAAATGACTGCACAGACTTGTGACTGCAAAATTATTGTTCAAGACAGCCCCTTTACCTTGGTGAATTTACTTGGTTTAGATACAAAGTGATTTTCCTTAAAGCCATTTATGTTGAAAGTTCTTCTGCAGTTTTCCTGGCATTTCATTGTTTAAGGAGCACTTTCTGGTGTCCTTCTAACATACAATGCAAAAATGATACATGGTGTTTTAAATAGTTTATGATGCAGTTTGTTTTTCTGTTTATTTCCAGAAGAGATATGTACCCTTGTAATTGCAGAAACTTTTCCTGAAGATTCAGGACTTTTCTCATGCACAGCAACAAATGAATATGGTTCAGTAACAAGCAGTGCACAGCTAACTGTCTGCTCAGGTATGTGGTGAAGGGAAAAAGGAATTTTTAATCATGGATCTTGGATAATTAACTTACCTGTGAAGTTATCAGTGTGCTTCCCTTGTAGAAAAGGGCTCTGTAAACGGGGGTATTCGTCAACCACAGAGCATTCATGTAAAGCAAACTGAATGTTTTTATTGGCTTATTTCCTAGTTTAATATTTTTATTCATGTAAAATGCACTTTTAAAGTGTCTGCCACAAGCCTGCCAGATTTTTAAGCATTAGGTTTCTGAGACTAGATGGCAGCAGAGGCAAAATGAAAGCAGATGAAATTATGCTACCAAAGGTGGCATATGCCGTTTGTAAAACAAAAAACTGTGACATGATACGCTTACTTTTGTAATATGTTTACATACATATTGTTGTGGAATGCATTAACTCAGCTGCCATTGCAAACATGCCATGTATACATACATCATTCAACATTTTTAAATTATTTGTTTTTAAATTATGCTGAGACTCCAGGAAGAAGAAATGCTGTTTAAGCTGTTGTTGTCTTTACTTGCCAATCTCAGTTAGTGTCTGGATTCCTGAAAGAGATTTAGAGGGATCCATAAGATTCCTTATTGTGCCTTTTGCATGGGGCAAAGTCAGAAAATGAATAGCCAGTCATGTGTCTAATCCCGCATAAATTATGAACAGGAGGTCTAGAAAAATATCTGCGCAGAATCAAAGAGATCTCACCTTTAACAAACTGAAAATAGATCATGTATGTATCATGTACTTTGTCTATGTCTTGTGGGAGAGACATTCTTTTTGATTTCTTTTAGCCAACTCTGACAGCTCTCGTCATGAATCACTGACAAGAGAATCCAACAGTGATGATTTCCATCATTTCCCACCACTTCCCCCAGTTGAAATTAGCTCTCTTGAGCTTCCTCCTAAGAAACATACAGAGACTCACCAAGTAAACACCACTGAGTTGAGATCTGGTGTAACAGCCCTTCAACTACAGCTCAATTCGTCTGAGGAAAAAACAAATGGCATCCATCCTGTTCATGGTGTAAACGGAATGATTAACAGCAAGACAAACGGTGATAAATCCATCCCACCTCCAGCTGTCTTGCTTTCACCCACAAAGGAGCCACCACCTGTGCTTGCCAAACCAAAGCTGTGAGTATTTTTTTGTGTTCTTTGTTGGTTTGTTTTGGTTTTGGGTTTTTTTTTTGTTTCCTATAAACTCAATATTTGTTGAAGGCAACTTTTTGTTTGGAGCAAAATCATGTTTAAAAAAGTATTAGACAAATAATGGACAATGTCTGTGCCTGTCCCTTGAGCAATCTTATGTTCTTACTGCTGCGATTTATGTCCCAGAGAGCTGAGTACAAGAGAGAAGAACTGTGTTCTTTCTCATAGTGCTACATCAAAGGGAAGCACATTGTGTATACCAAATTCTATAGAAATATTTAAGATAAAGTCACCAAAAAAAAATTAGTAGTGGCTGTAGCTCTGCGCTTTTTATTCTTAGGCACTGTACCTACGTGTCCTAGTGGCCTGAGATTCTTGCATGCTATTCCTGTTTCAACACTGGCTAGCTGTCTTTATTCTGAATGTTCTTGGTTTTGTGTAGTCAGTGGATATTCAGGTGTGTAATGTTTGTATTCTTTACTTACATTATGTTTATATATAACATGTAACTCATTCTGCTGTGGGCCAAATTACAATGGTTTTTTTATAACTAAAAATCTGAAAATGAAAAGCTCAAGGGGAGGAGAGAGAAATAAGTGGAAAAACCTGTAGTAACGTTTTTACCTTATGTTAGTGATGATGCCTTACTTACTCAAGAGTGTTCTTATGCTGACTGTTAACTTATAGCTTGATTTTAGTATTGCACAGACTCATCTTTTCCATGTCCCTCAATAATTTTTGAATTGTGATGAAGGAACTAAAATGCTTTTTTATTTCATTTGCATCAGTAATCAGAAGGGATTATTAATTATAAAAATGTGTTTAAGAAGCATGAAATACAGTCTTCAGGCTTAGCAAGGTCATTTGTGTAATTACATGTTTTCACAGGACAACTTGCAAAATACAGCAATGCTGTTCTTTTAGTAATCGTGCTGATTTTAAACACACAAAAACACGTGCTTGGGGCAGCAAACCTACAGGGTTCCCTTTCTGCACTCTCCACTTTTTTTCTTTCTGTTGCTTTGTGTCATTCTAAGCAATCTCTGACAACTGTAGAAGAGGAGTGGAAGAAGTAGAAAGACAGAGTGGTGGAATAACATTATATAGGTTGATGATTGTGTATATGAGAGGGAGGTTGCTGAGGATGGCAACTTGCAGATGATACGTGATGTGGAGTGAGCCAGCTGGTCCTGTACTTAGCACATCTGTTGCAAGACCCATTTGTGAAGAAAGGAGATAGTAGCTCCAGCAGAGCAGTAAAAAGCAAATTTCACCCCAGAACTTTCTTTGCCAGAAGAGAGGTTGCCCTAGATAAAAGCAAGAAGGCTCTGTAATAGACTTCCCATTGCATAATGTTTACTGTTAACTTGTTTTGTTTTTAAACATAGAGTCAACATCTGAACAGAGGTGAACATTGTATGCAATGATGTGAGAGGGATGCTATTACAAGAATCCTTTTTGTTGCTGAAGTCCAAATTGATGACCTTGGAATCCCTAGTGCAATTGCACTTCAGTCCTATATTTTGCTATTAAAAACGCTCGATACACAAGAGGCTGATCTTCACTGCAGTCAAGATAGATGTTTTGCTTGGCCAAAGCCAGTGTAAGTCCATGCTGTTGTCAGAAATGGAAGTGTTGCCTTCCCCTCAGCCAAGTATATTGCTCCCAAGCATAGTGATAATGTAAGAAAGGGAAAGGGCGCTAATAGGAGGAGGAAAAAGGGTGTCTGGCTGCAGAGACTTGGAATCAGCTTTCAGCATTTGGGAAACTGCATCCCCAGTCAAAGCTAACAAAATAATTGCATTAAAATCAGGTATCTTAACTATGAGAGTGATCCCTCTTAAGAGAACGCATCTATGGAGTTGTATCTGTCCATAGAGTATTAGTATTTGATGACAGAAGTGGCATATATTAGCAATGACAGCAAACATGTTTATTATGACTTTTTTTTTAGTTATTTAAACATTTAAAGTGATGTTGACTATGGAGAAAGCTTGAAGCTTCTGAGTCTCATTAGTGAGTTTTATTTTTGATGAAGACTGCCTCTGATTTTAAATTTCCTAAAGGACCTTCTCTTTTCAAGCTTATCTTTACTCATGAATCACCAGGTTTATCTGTGAACTTTCTGAAAATAGTTTATTCAGCCAACACTGATAGTAATTGCAAAGAGTTTGGGAATGATGGGCTGGTTTTGGCTTGGTGTCTTTTTTATTATTATTATTTTTTTTAGTTTAACAAGGAGAGACTGAGTACCTTCTTGAAGTATGAAATACATTTGCACCTTGGCAGTGAGCTGTAACCAACACTTATAGATAATGATTTACCACAGTTCAGTCCAATGCAAGAGCTGGCATGCTATAGAGAGTTACTGTAGTTGTTTTCAGACTTGCAAAGTGTTTTTAGAATCCTACAAAATGCTCAGTTTGTGGTTACAGACTCTTAAGTAATCCTTAAGCCATAATATTAGTTGTTGCCTTAGTCTGGTGCTGAGAATATTTGAAACAGAGTTTAATGTGATAATATATAGAATTTTCTGGGGAAAGTATATATAGAATTAGATGGGAAAACAGTCGATACCAGGTAGTTTGCTAACATGGAATTTAGAAGGTAATAATGCTAAATATGGTTAAAAGGCACAATATTTTATCATATCATGTTTGCAATGTGAGTTTGTGTGGACAAGAAAGGAAGAACTGTTGAACTGTGACCAAAAAACCTCAGATTTCCACAATTCTGATCTCTGCTGATGTGACCTATTTGAGGAGTTGAGCTATTAGCACGCATTGGACTTTTCCAGGCAGTAGTGATGTAACACACAGATGAGCTTTACAAAGTGTCCCCATAAATGTATGGTATCTTCAGATACTTTACATCTTTCAAAATTATGCAAAGAACTGTTAATTTCAGTATGTAGCCTGTGTGTGAAAGCGCTGCCTTAAACCCCTCATAATCCTTAGTCTGAATGTCTGTAAAAAAAGGCAGGACACTGTTCTGTAGAACTGTATACAATATATCCATGGTTTCAAATGAAGAACTTCCATTCAAGTGGCTTAGTATTACTATTATTTTTCCATGTGTCTGTTAAAGCAATAACAGAAAAGAAGGTGGTGTTCATATGGTTACTGGGCATACCTACCTATGTGATGTTAGTCGACTTTGTAACAAGCCATCAGTTCAAGGTTCACAGACCAAATTTGACTACAGGGAGACCTCATAGCTCTCTATAGCTACCTGAAAGGAGGCTGGAGTGAGGTGGGTGTCGGTCTCTTCTCCTGAGTAACTAGTGATAGGACAAGAGGAAATGGCCTCAAGTTGCATCAAGGAAGGTTTACACTGGACATTAGGAAGGAATTCTTCACTGAAAGTGTTGTCAATCATTGGAACAGGCTGCCCAGGGAAGTGGGGGAGTCACCATGTCTGGAGTTGTAAAAGATGTGTAGATGTGATGCTGAGGGGCATGGTTTAGTGGTGGACTTGGCAGTGCTAGGTTAACGGTTGGACTTGATGATCTTAAAGATCTTTTCCAAATGAAATGATTCTATGATACTGTACACCATGGAGCCAGAATTTCCTGCCCGAGAGCTTCTCTTCAGATGGCTGCTGTTTTATCCGATTTGGGTTAGAGCGTTATTCCAGTCTGTCATATACAATGATCAGAAAAAGTATTGGCTTAGTGGGAGTCGTTCTTTTCTATACTTCTCCCTTGCAGATGCAGAGAGCAGCTGTATGTATTGATAGCCGTTAACATACACGCAAAAGAAGCCAGTAGGAAGTGACATGTTTGACACCTTTAAAATTAGCACAGCAATACCTGCCCCTGTAGAATGATCAATATTTTTTTCATTGCATTATTGCAAGAAGTAGTATTGTGCATGGGCATGCGTCATGCATGCTGTGAAGAAGATGAATGGACAAAATTCCTGAATTCCATCTCACCCAGTTCTCTTTGACAATGTTTTTTTGCAGTGAAAATGAAAGGCAGGTATTAATTCTGTAAAAAGAATACCTGTTAAAAGTGCAAAGCAGTAAGATATAATTTCTAAGGTTTATGAAGTTGTTGATAATCAGTATTTCCTTCCACAGACACGGCTATATTGTTTCCTGTTTTTTTCTGAGATTTTGGGTGGTTTTTAAATGTTTTAAAAAATCTTAGTTTTTTAAATAATACACAGAAGAAATTAATCATAAACATAATTAAAAAGATATCAAGCAGTTTATATGTAACATCAGTAAGGAAAAGCTGAGATTGTCATTAAAATTATTTCTTAAAGATACGGAGTTAATCTGTTTGATATGCATCAGAGTCACTGCTCTGTGAGTTGATAGAACTTCCTTAATTAAAAACACTAGTGTTCATACTGGTTCTGAAAGTGATACCATTTCTTGAACTGAATTATTTTCACTTCAGTCTCCGTTCCTCAGCAGCTGAGTTTTCTTTCACAGTTTCTTCTGTTTTGTAATCGATGCCTCACACATTTTTGCAAAGATGCTAGTCCAGTCATTTCTAGAACGTCTCTTATGCCCTTTATTAAAACGTTTCTTTCACTATTTCTCACTCATCACTGAAATTATTCTTAACTTGATCTTTCTGCTAGCAATTTACTTAGTATTAAACTTGTACTTCTAGACGTGTACTTGCTATGATGTTTTTAATGCCTGTCCTGACAGGCATTGGGTTTTAAAGGTACTGAAAGAAATAATTGCTTCTTAATAATTGTATTTGATATATGCAAGTAGTAAGTACTGTTTAGACTATATTAGGAAGAGCTGGATAGAAAAAGAACATGTGTGAACAGCCGAAAATCCTAATGCCTTGGAATACACAAAAGTCCGGTGTAAGTCCTTAGTCTGCCTAAGAGAGCCCAGGCTGCTGAAGCCCAGAGAGCAGACATTGTGCTGGGAGCTTTGAAGCCTTCACATTGTTCTTGTACAGGACAGCAGCATTCTGGAAATGGTGAGAAGACATGTGATGTAGGAAAACTTTTTCAT